CTCAGGAGGCTGAGATGTAAGGATTGAGGTTTGACCAGTCTGAGAAGAAAAGTCCCCAAGAGACTGCGGACTCCAATTCCACTCAAAAATGGAAGTGGTGCTGTGGCCCAGGCCTCTAGTTCATGCCCCATAATCGGCCAAAAAGATAAAAATTTTTTTAAAAAAGGACAGGTGGTGTAACTCCATAATAGAGTGCTTGCTAAAGCATGGGTTTGATTTCCAACACTGAAAAAAAAGAATCCCTGCTACTAAATAATTTTTTTTTTTGTTGGTCGTGGGGCTTGAACTCTGGGCCTGGGTGCTGTCCCTCAGCTCTTCAGCTCAAGGCGAGTGCTCTACCACTTGAGCTACAGCACCACTTCCGGTTTTCTGGTGGTTTATTGGAGATAGGAGTCTCACGGTCTCTCCTGCCTGGGCTGGCTTTGAACCGCAATCCTCAGATCTCAGCCTCCTGAGTAGCTAGGATTACAGGCGTGAGCCACCAGCGCCCGGCCTCTGCTACTAAATAATAATAGTGATAGATTTGAGAATGTATAGACTAGACATTAGATAATAAGGAAATAACAGCTTTGAGGGCTTTTTTCTTTTGAGACAAGATTTTGCACTGTGATTATAGCACAGTCCTACCACACCATCAAAGAAAACTAGTGTGTGTGTGTGTGTGTGTGTGTGTGTGAATGTACTTCCAGCCTTTTGGTGGATTAACTGGAGATAAGATTCTCACAGACTTTCCTGTCCTCCTCAGATCTCAGCCTCCTGAGTAGCTAGGATTACAGGCGTGAGCCACCAGCGCCCGGCCTCTGCTACTAAATAATAATAGTGATAGATTTGGAGAATGTATAGACTAGACATTAGATAATAAGGAAATAACAGCTTTGAGGGCTTTTTTCTTTTGAGACAAGATTTTGCACTGTGATTATAGCACAGTCCTACCACACCATCAAAGAAAACTAGTGTGTGTGTGTGTGTGTGTGTGTGTGTGAATGTACTTCCAGCCTTTTGGTGGATTAACTGGAGATAAGATTCTCACAGACTTTCCTGTCCTGGCTGGCTTTGAATTGTGATAATCATATCTTGCCCTCCTGAGTAGCTAGGATTACAGGTGTGAGCCACTAGTATGCCAGCTGAAACAACTGTTTTAAAAGTGTGATAATATATCTTACTGAAGAGGCAGAATCTCAGAGATCCAAATTGAAGTATTTTCGGATGAAATGATATAATGCCTGCAGTTCACCTTAAAATAATCCAGAAGGAAGCAGAGCGTGGTGATATAAAGCTAAACCAAATTTGGCAGTCCTTGCTGAGGGTGGACTATGGGCTACATGGAGTTTTGCTGTCCTCTTTCTTTTCTTCTGGAAGTGTTTGAAAAAAATCTCTATAAGCCATGCACTGGTGGTTCATGCCTGTAATCTTAGCTATTCAAGAGGCTGAGAGCTGAGGATTGAGGTTTGAAGCCAGTCTGGGGCAGAAAGTCTGGTCTTCAACTAAATCACAAGGAGCTGTGGCTCAAGTGTTAGAGAGCTGGCTGTTAGCAAGAGCCAAGGGACAGCACCCAGACCTGAGTTCAATCCTCAGAATCAATATACACACACAAAAGAAAATGTTGCAGCTGGGAAGGAAGCTTAGTGGTAGAGTGCTTGCCTACCATGCACAAAGTCCTGCATTTGATTCCTCAGTACCATATAAACAGGACAAGCCAGAAGTGGTGCTGTGGCTCAACTGGTAGAGAGCTAACCTTGAGCAAAAGAAGCTCAGAGACAGTGGCCAGCTCTGAGTTCAAGCCCCAGGACTGGCAGGAGGAAAAAAGAAAAAAAAAAAAAAAGCCAGAAGTAAAACTGTGGCTCCACTATTAGAGCAGTAGGATTAGTTCCAAGGCCCAGAGTTCAAGCCCCACCACCAACCAAAAAAAAAAAAAAGAAAGAAAAAAAAAAGCCATACTGAGCAGGAAACTCTGTGAGTCTTATTCCAATGAATCATCAAAAAGCCAGAAGTGGCAGGGTGCCAGTGGCTCACACCTGTAATCCCAGGAGGCTGAGATCTGAGGATCTTGGGCATGAAAGGCCATGGACTCTTTTCTCCAATAAACTACTCAGAAAACCAGAAGTGGCACTGTGGCTCATGTGGTAAAGCGCTAGCCTTGAGCTGAAGAGCTGAGGGACAGTGCCCAGGCCCAGAATTCAAGCCCTGTGACCAAAAAAAAGAAAAAAGCCAGAAGTGGAGTTGTGGCTCACATGGTAGAACACTCAAGGATAACATCCAGACCCTGAGTTCAAGCCCAGGACTGAAGTATACACACACAAAAATTAAAATCTGGGTTCACGGCACATGTGACCGCGATGACACTCCTGTACCAGGCCCCAGGAACCTTGTCAGCTCACCATCCATCGATAGGCTTTGCCATAATTAAATCAGTAAAACTAAGTACACACCAGGCGACACGCTGGGTCTGGCAACAGGCATCTGAGGGACAGAGCCCTTAACCCATGGGGCTGCGCAACACCAGCATCACAGGTGTGCCTGCAGACTTCACTGTCGGACTGGGTGAAGTGCACACCTGTGATGCCAGCACTAGGAAGGTGGAATCCGGAATCAAGAGTTGGAAGCCAGCTGGGGCTACACAGTAACACTCAAAAAAGTCCCCACAACCTTGGGCAGCCTCCCCAGCTCCAAAAAAAAAAAATCAACACCAGACTAGCTAGACATCCTGTTTGACTTGAATAACTGGTGAATTTTGTGTCCAAAATTGAGGGCAGAAACATTTTTACTTTTTAGGTATCCATAAAGCTCTCCCTGACTTGTTCTTTTTGCCAGTTGTGGGGGCTTGAACTCGGCCTGGGCGCTGTCCCTCAGCTCTACAGCTCAAGGCTAGTGCTCTTCCACTTGAGCAACAGCGGTACTTCCGGCTTTATGTGCTTAATGTGGTGCTTAGAAATTGAACTGAGGGCCTCGTGCATGAAAGGCAAGAACTCTACCACTGAGCCACCTTCCCAGCCCTTCTCCCTGACTTTTGACCCCAAGGACAGTGTAACAAGGGTGGAGGTGGCAGGGACAGAGGAGTTGGGCTGTGCTGGGGTTGGGATTCAAGGAAGCAGAAAACTTTTTTTTTTTTTTTGGGTCCGGTTGTGGGGCCTGAACTCTGGGCCTGGGTGCTGTCCCTCAGCTCTTCAGCTCAAGGCTAGCGCTCTACCACTTGAGCCACAGTGCCACTTCCGGCTTTTTGCTTATGTGGTGCTGAGGAATCGAACCCAGGGCCTCAGGCATGCAAAGCAAGCACTCTACCACTGAGCCACCTTCCCAGCCCCAGCAGAAAACTTTTTTCCCCACCACCATACTTGTCATGGCTGGGGGCTGAGAATGTGGCTTAGTGGTAGAGTTGCTTGCCTAGTATATGTGAAGCCCTGGGTTCAATTCCTCAGCACCACATAAATAGAACAAGCCAAAGTGGTGCTGTGGCTCAAGTGGTAGAGTACTAGCCTTGAGCAAAAGTAGCTCAGGGACAGCACCCAGACCCTGAATTCAAGCCCCTGGCCTGGTTAAAAACAAAAAACAAAAAATAACCCACACTCCCAGGATCACTGTGCACAAGGAAAATGTCACACAGGAAAGAATACACACAAGTGGATAGTTGACATTTATTGAACACTATGTCACTATGTGCCGGGCCCTAGAAAAATGGAATCAATGCAGGCTGGTCTCTGCCCCAAAGGAGCTCACAGACTAGAAGGCTAAGCACCCCACAGCAGCAAAGGTGCATATGGAATCACAACTTCACAACCAAGTCTTACGTGTTTTCCCAAGTGTATAAACTCTCAGCAACACAACCATGTTGTCTTAAAATAGTCATAACCACTGAAAGGACAGACAAGAAGCCACTATGATTAAGGTTGTGCCATCAGAGCCAGATTTTCAGATTAGGCACACCTTAGGTTAGCTGATGTGCAGTGGTGGAGGCCTAAAAGGTTCATGGCCCCATCCTGCAGTGGTTGAACCATCCTAGACTCAAGATACCTGCACAATGTTTCTTCTCCACCCTCCCCCCCCACCTCCTTCTAGCCTCCCCTGGACGAGGTCCCCATATAATCAGTTCCTTCTCCAGAGCTTGTTGGATGGGGTGAACGGACGATGTCCCAAAAGCCCACCAAGCTATAAGACTCCCTCACACCTGGCCTGGCCAGCCCACAGCATATCCTCACCCTTCCCGACAGAGCTGAACTTCCAGTTGGAAGTGGTAATCTATCCTCAGCTTGTCCTTACCTCTCCCTACATGCCCCTGACCTCTTAGGAGCAGTGGGTGCTCAAACCTATGCCGGCCGGGCGGGGGAGGGGATGGACCCCAGAAGCAGCCTGGGGTGGGTTAGGTCAAGACATGCACCTGTGAGATTTAAGGTGGGCCATCTCCTGATCTTGATCCCAAGGTCAAGGCAATATGGGCAGCAGACAAAGCATGGCTGAAGGTTAGGCTGAGGAAAGGGTGGGAGTGGCCCATGCCACAGAGGGTGCAGGCTGGAGGACTGTCTGGGCCCACGTGCTACTTCCCCAGCACCGGGTAAGAAGGGCTTGCAGGAAGGCCAGGATGATTCCACTTGAGAAATTCCCCAACTCTGTGCTCCGTGAATGCGTGCTCCTGACCCACTATGGTCTACTGAAGCCTAGTGAACAAATTAGCAACACAACAGTGTGTTTCTGATCTCCTTTCCAGAGTGGGTTAAAGGAGGGAAGCTACTCTTCCCTATGTAACTGACAAGTCAAGACAGGCCCAGGGGTAAAGCAAATCTTGCCCTGGCGTTGCTCACTGCTCCACCGCGGGGACAGGCGGCCTCTGCCCAGCACTATCTCCCAGCCCTCATGGCGCTCATGTTGGCCCCAGGAGGTCCTTGTCCCCAATGATGGCCCAGACTGAACTCTTAATAAAAAAAAATAATTTATTGTCAACAAAGGCAATATATACAACAGGACAACAGGTGAAAGGGAGAATGGGTGAATGATGACTTTTAAGGGACAGAGTGGGAAGAGGTAATGGAGGCTTCCTGGTGGAGAAGCCTGAACAAGTTGGGGAGGAGGTGTCCCCCGAGGTAGTGGGACTCAGTTCAAACCCCGCTGTGACCACCTCTGCGTAAGGCACTGCGCCAGGGGAGAATAGTAGGGGGCTAAACATGGTGGGAGGAGGTGGAGGGGTCACAAATGATTGGGATGGGTGTTCTCCACAGGCCCAATGCCCCAGCTCACAACAGCGCCAGCCACCACTGCCTACCTCGGGAGCCTGGCCTCAGACCCAGCAAAGGGCCCACACCTACCAGTGCCCCAAAGTGATGGAGATGATGCTGCCCGCCTGCCCCTCCACCCTGCCTGATATTTGGTGTTAAAATTCTCTATCAGGTGGCTGAGATGATAGCTGAGTGGTAGGCCAAAGGAGATGCTGCCTTTCTTCCCTCTGCCCCCCAGGAAAGCGAGAACTTACTCCCCACTTTCTGCTTCTGGCTGTCCCCGCACAGTGGCACTGGATTCTGACAGAACTGTGGGCCAGTCTGAGCTGTCACCTGCTCCCACCCCCTTGGTGCCCTGGGCGTGCTTGGACCAGTCTTGCAAGAGGCTGACAGCTGGGGGCTCCTCCATCCGCACCCGGATAACCTGGAGATCCAGTGTCCCTCGAAGCCCGGGAGGGGGAGCTAGGCAGGGACAGAACAGAAAGTAAGAGGAAGGCCCTCCAGACCGGGAAATGTTCCTAACAGCTGTTTAAACCATCCTCCCAGTGCCTACGTGAGCGGAAGTAGAGGGCATTGGGAGGCAGCAAGTTTGACTGGCATAAAGTGTTACCCTCGCAAGCAGGCCAGGCACTGCCATGAAGGCTTCCTCCTGCTTAGTGCTATACATCACCTCTTCAACTCCTACCGCCAGCTGACTCCATCTCATATAAATCCCACTGAGACACCTGGCCCCAGGACTGACTAGGAGTTAAGGTGGCAATATAGGATGATGCTTTGTCCCCACAGAGCTGTGTGTGCAGAGACAGAACCCTGGTGAGCATAGCAGCTTGAGCTGGGTTCCACAGCTACCTTTCAGGATCAGGGGCCTTAGCAGTATGGAGAAGCTACTCAAAATGGCAACATGGGGCTTCCAGATAGCGAGGGTAGAATGTTGTGGCTACCGTGTAGCTACCATGTCTTCTGTGACAGGGGCCCACTAAACCAGACTACAGGAGGCTCAACAGTAGAGTGAGCAAGCATAGGTCCTGAGTTCACACCTCAGTTACCACAAGTTTCATTACATTGGAAAGCAAAACCAGGAACATCAATGGGAACTGCATGGCCTATATTCAAATTCTTTGCAGTGTTGTTTTTCCATTATTTTTAGACATAATTACTGAAAACGCAGCAGAGAAAACAGGTACCATTTTGCCATATAGCTTGGAAGCATTTAAAATGACTCCTCAGGTTTAAAACCACTGGATTACACAACTGGGCTAGCTGTTTTGTGTTTGCATAATCTGACGTGTGTTTCTGGTGAACTGTAAGTCCCTTGGGGAAAGACAAAACTCTACTCATATGCTCATCAACTCAACAATAACTTAGGGCATGGGCAACTCCCATGTTCCCTATACTGTTCCAGTTGCTAGGGACACAGCAGCAAGTGGAGCCAACCATGCTGACTTCTTGGGACTGACATGCTATTGAGAGCCAACTAAGAACAAAACCAGGCCAGGAGCCAGAGGCTCATGCCTGTATTCTTAGCTACTCAGGAGGCTGAGATCTGAGGCTTGTGGTTTGAAGATAACCTTGGTAGACAAGTCCATGAGACTCTTATCTCCAATAAACTACTCAGAAAAAGCTGTAAGTGTGCATTGGCTCAAGTAGTAGAATGCCCAGGCCCTGAGTTCAAGCCCCAGGACTAGCAAAAAAAGGAAGGACTGGTAAGTCAAAGATACTCATGTTATCCACAGGCAGGAGCAACACCACAGCACACGTGACAAGGAGTGGGAGAGCCAGCAACTGCAGAGCAGAGACGTAGAGGGAGCTGAGAGGCGGCCATAGAGCTGGCAGGAGATAGAGGAAAGAGCAAATCCAGACGCTGCCAGATGGCATAGAACAGCAAGGCAAGGCCAGCCCTGCCAGCAGGTCAGGCATGTGGGGAAGGACACCAGCCTTCACACTGACTGACTTTCGCCAAGTGAAAGCAGCAGTGTGAGGAGCCCAACAGTGACTGGTGTGTTTTAGTAAGAACACTGACTGCTGTCAGAGAACAGCTGGCAAAGCTCAAAGGCCAGAGACTAGTTAGAAAGTTGCAGGTCCTGGGGCTGGGAAGGTGGCTCAGTGGTAGAGTGTTTGCCTTGCATGCATAAGGCCCTGGGTTCGACTCCTCAGCACCACATAAGCAGAAAAAGCCGAAAGTGGCGCTGTGGCTCATGTGGTAGGGTGCTAGCCTTGAGCTGAAGAGCTGAGGGACAGTGCTCAGACCAAGAGTTCAGGCCCCACCTCTGACCAAAAAAAAAAAAAAAGTTGCAGGTAGCAAGCAAGGGGAGGGCAATGAAGGAGGTAGGAGGTAAAACTCTGTGCTCTACCACTTGAAAGCCATGCCCTCACCCTTTTTATTTTCCAGATGTAATAGAGCTTATTAAGCCTCACTGTCCTAGAGTCTACCCTTAGCTTCTATAACTCCATTTTGCTTTTATGACTCCTTCTTAAAAGATAGGACTGCACTCCTAGCCGTGAGACTGGTTCCCTATGGTTTAACATATAAAAATATGCCCTCTGTTCCGTTTATGTTCCTAAGTAATCGGTCCTAGAAATGAGCTCTAGTAATGGTCATGCGGCCCTTGCTCAATGCTGTGCTTGGCTTTTTTTTTTTTTTTGGTCGGTTGTGGGGCTTGAACTCTGGGCTTGGGCGCTGTCCCTCAGCTCTTCAGCTCAAGGAGAGTGCTCTACCACTTGAGCTACAGCACCACTTCTGGTTTTCTGGTGGTTTTATTGGAGATAGGAGTCTCACGGTCTCTCCTGCCCGGGCTGGCTTTGAACCGAGATCCTCAGATCTCAGCCTCCTGAGTAGCTAGGATTACAGGCGTGAGCCACCAGCGCCCGGCCTGTGCTTGGCTTTTCTTAACTTTCCTCCCCTGAGCAAACAAGGATGTAAATTTATGTGTTTTGAAAGGGGACTTAGGACTGCATTTTGGGGCACACGAATGCACAATGTAGTCACTGGCCAGCTAATAAAGACTTTCTATCAACTACTGTGTGTGTGGTTGATATCTCCTGGTAGTTTACTTCATAACACAGATATTTTTTGTCCAGGGCCAGTTGGTTTTCTGTTCTCCAAACTCTCCTTGTCAAGGTACACACCACCTCACTTAGCTTACAGGCCTGAGTCAACTACACCTAACTCTAAACTCTGAACCTCTTTTAGAAGCTTACTGATATGGGACTGGAAAAGCAGGACAACTTTGGAGTTTGGCCAGAGCAAATGGAAAGATGGAGCTGCCAGTTTCCTAGGAAAGGGGAACTGGAGTAAGTGGTAGGGACCAATGGCAGACTAGCCCTCTACCACTTGAGCCATAGCACCACTTTCAGCTTTTTCTATTTATGTGGTGTTAAGGAATTGAATCCAGGACTTTGTGCATGCTAGGCAAGCACTCTACAACTAAACCACATTCTCAGCCCTGGATGTTGATCTTTTAGTCAATCAAAAAAAAAAAAAAAAAAGAGTAACAGAAGTGCCAGGTGGTGGCACATGTCTATAATCCTAGTACTTCGGAGGCCTAGTTGAGGCCATCCCAGAGTCTCAGTGTGAGAGTGTATGTGTGTGTGTGTTGTGAGGGAAGGGGCCCCTGCAGTGTGCAGTGCACATGCACACCAGGGAGAGAAAAAGGAACACATGGAACAGCCAGGGGAACAAACTTGTTGCTAGGAAAGCACGAGCGAGCCACAGCAAGAATGAAAGACCAATCAATGAATTGGGGATGTGGCTCAAGTGCTGGCTCAAGCTAGGTCTTAAATTCACTCCCCAGTACTGCAAAAGAAAAAAAAGAGAAAAGAATAAAAGAAAGGAAGGAAGGACATAAGAACTGACCACTGGATTTAATTTTGTGGAAGTCAGTGGATCCTAACAAAAAACAATTTCAGGCTGGACTGTGGCAGATAAAACCAAGTGATTCAAGTGGAGTCCACAAAGAGATGACAGGCAGTCAGTAAAGAAAAGGCCTTCAGGATCCAAAGATGCACTGACAGTGGATAGAAGAAAAAGAGGTTAAGAAAAGACAAATTACAGCTCTATGCAGGTTGATGGGGAAGATCTGAAGAAGACAGGGCAACAGAGAGGAGAGACCCCATTGGCTCTAAGCCTGGGGAAAAGGGCAGCTCAGTCCTGTGCCAGAAAAAATGGAGGCCTGGAGACAGTGGCAGGGAAGGGGGGAAGGAATGGCTGCACACAGCTTGCAGATGGGCTTAGTGGAAAGAGAGATATAGCTTAGTAAGCAAGTGACCCTAGATGAGGTACTTAACCTGCCTGAGGTCTGCTGCTTGGCAACCTTGGACTGAGACCCTCCTACATATACCCTCCTACCTATACCTCTCATATAGATGGGCTTACAAGTCAGTACCACTATACCTGGGCTTGTTGGCCAAGACGGGCTTTTTATTCCTGCCTGTACTTCACTTCCCAACCAAGAGGATGGGATTACAAGTGGGAACTACCACACCCAGCTATTTTTTAATTCCCTAGTGGTAGGGATCCAATTTAAAACTTCATATATATGCTAGGCAAGTGGTCTACCACTGTCTAGTCCCCATATACCCCTTGTTTTATTGTTTGTCAGTTGTGGGGCTTGAACTTGGCGTTCCCTGAGCTTTTTTGCTCAAGGCTAATACTGTACCATTTTGAGCCACACCACACTTTTGGTTTCTGGTGGTAAATTGAACATGAGATTCTCACTGACTTTTCTGCCTGGGCTAGCTTTGAACCCCATGATCCTCTGATCTCAGCTTCCTGAGTAGTTAGACTAACAGGCCTGAGCCACTGGCTCCTGGCCACACCCCTTGTTTTTTAAGCCAAGTACTTGGTTATACTGCCCAGGCTGGCCTGTCCTCCTAAGCTCAAGTAATCCATATGCCTCAGCCTCCAGACTTACTGGGTCATTGACACAGTTTCCCCTCCTAGAGAACAGAATCATAATACTTTCTATAGCTTACTTTTAGGAGATAGCATGCCAGGGAAGTTCAATATGTAGTAAGCACTGGAGGGGCAGGGGGCTGGGAATATGGCTTAGTGGTAGGGTGCTTGCATCTCATGCATGCAGCCCTGTGTTTGACTCTTCAGTACCACATAAACAGAAAAAGCCAGATGTGGCACTGTGGCTCAAGTGGTGGCACACTACCCTTGAGCAAAAAGCCTAAGGACTAGCAAAAGAAAAAAAGAAAAAAAAATCCCTGGTTTCTCTTAGCTCTTACTATGTTTTTCTTTTTTTGTGCCAGTCCTGGGGCTTGAACTCAGGGCCAAGGGCACTGTCCCTGAGCTTCTTTTGCTCAAGGTTAGCACTTTAACCACTTAAGCCACAGCACCACTTCTTTCTGTTTATGTGATACTAAGGAATTGAACCCAGGGCTTCATGCAAGCTAGACAAGCACTCTACCAACTGAGCTACATTCCCACGCCTAGGGACTTCCTGAGTTACCATGGTCAAGTGTCAGTTCTTGCTGGAGGTGAGGAAGGCAGATGTATGGGGTAGGAATTCAGAAGAGTGAAGCATGAGACATGGACAGCAGAGCCCCATCCATAGGTATAAAAAGCAATCTGGGCTGGGTACTAGTGTTTCACACTTATAATCCTAGCTACTCAGGAATCTAAGATCTGAGGATCATGGTTTGAAGCCAGCCTGGGCAGGAAAATACATGAAACCCTAATTAATCAGCAAAAAGAAGCTAGAAGTGGAGCAGTGACTCAAGTGGTAGAACACTGGACTTGAGTCAAAAAGCAAAGGGATAGGGCTCAAGCAAGTTTAAGCCCCAATACTGGTTCAAAAAAAGAAAAAGAAAGAAAGAAAACTGGGGGCGGGGAATGTGGCTTAGTAGAGTGCTTGCTTAGCATTCATGAAACCCTAGGTTTGATTCCTCAGTACCATATAAACAGAAAAAGCCAGAAGTGGCACTGTGGCTCAAGTGGTAGAAAGCTAACCTTGAGCAAAAGAAGCTCAAGGACAGTGCCCAGGCAAAAAAGCAGCCCAGAGACAGTGCCCAGGCCCTGAGTTCAAGTCCCAGGACTGGCACTCCCCCTGGCCTCCCCACTCCTCAAAAAGAAAGAAACCTGGGAGAAGTTACCTGTCTCTGGGACAGACCTAAGCCACTTTAGGCCCTGGCCCTAGAATACTCACCAGCCCTGCCCAAATGCCCTATCATTTCACACTCTCCCTTGGATTAATGCATCTGTGTGTGTATGTCTGTCTGTGTGTGCCCACAGATGCACCGTTCCTCTAGCAGAAGCTGCGGCCAACCTCTCCTCAGGGACTCTGGAAATGCCAACACTTGACCAACAAGCAAAGACAGGCATGGTCATCTGTCTGAGTTGTCCTTTTGCCAGGTACTGTTGTAGGTACTGAGGACATACCAGTGAGCAGAATGCAAGGCCTGTGTGAGGCTGCCAGTCCCATGGATGCCACACTTGCCCACTACACTCCTGCCAAGTTCAGGTTACAAGTCCCTGTTGCCTCACTCAAGCATTCTGACTAAGCCCCCAGGTACTACTCAAACCAATGTCAGCACAACAAAAAAGCCTTCTTACAAGTGGGCCTTCCAGCTCACTTCTCTTCTGTCCTAGACACTGTATCTACAACTCCTCCTACAAAGGCCTTGGAAAACTCTAGAATCTTCCCAGACAGCCTCATATCCAGCTCCCTCAGCTTGGTTAACTTATCCATAGGAACTATTTCAACAACTAAAGCCTTTTTTTTTTTTTGGGGGGGGGGGGGGGGGG